TGTATAGATGCCCTTACTACTAGGCCAGCGACCTTGGCTCAGGTCAGAGGAAAAGGCTGTTGAGCACTATTCCTGCAAACTCTCAGCTTGTGGGGTGGATTCTATGCAAATTAATTTTATTTTCTTACAAATGAAGTCCTTCAATATAAAAAAGAACAAGAAGAGAAAAACAAAAACCAAGAAAACCCATTTGGGCTCTCACTCCATCCTTATCCTGCCTCATCCCCCCAATAAAAAAAAATATATATATAAAGAAACCCACATCAAGGACAACTGATCAAAACAGATCAAAAAAGAATGAAAAAAAAACATTTCAAATAAAGTTCAGCTGTTTCTATTTGGAAACAACAACAAAAAAATCCCACTTGCCACAATAAACTGACAAATAAGAAATAGACTCTGTGGTGATGAAGCTGGAATTTTCCGATGGCACTGGCTCCTCTGTCATTACTGTGGGTGACCCAAAGTGAGCAGGGCGAGTGAACAGCTGGGCATTGCCTGCGCTCCCGGCCCTGAAACAGGAGCACCCCGGGCAGGCCTCCAGAGACAAGCTCCCCCCACCCCAACCAGAAAGCCCCGAGGCTAAGAGAAACCCTCGGTCCTCCCCACCTGAGGGCTGCCAGCGCTGCTCAGACAGGCTGACTCCCCATTCCTCGCCCTGGGGGACAAGAAAGGCCATCTTTTGTAGCCTTGTCTGCAGATTTCCCAAGGAAACAGATGGCTATCCAACCTCAGGCCCTGTTGCCTTCCACAGAAAATGCTCAGGCTACTGGAAAGGGCAGTTGCTCCAACCACCCTCCCATGTCTCGGGTGCACCCACTCATACAGAGGTTCAGTCCAACAAGAGTCACGAGAAGGATGGATGTGAGGTGTCCCCCAAGGCTAACGTGTGCGTGTGCGACAATGCCAGGACGTGCAGAGGTGGAAGGAGTGGGGAGAGAACCAGCCTAACCCTGCACTGAGTGGGTGATGTGGGTGGAAACTCTAGGTGGCTGGGTGGGGCCCAAGGAGAAGGGTGCTGGGGATGGCCTTGTATTTTGCCAGGCTGAGAGGAGATGTGTCTCCCCGCTTGAGGACATGATTGTCATCCTGAGCTGCTTTCTTCCACCACACTCTTCCACCATGATCTTCTACCTCATCTAGGGCCCAGAACAATGGAACTGACTGTCCATGGACTGTGGGCTCGGAACCTGTGAGCCCCAAATAAACTTTCCTTCTTCCAAAATTGTTCTTATCAGATCTTTTGTTCACAGCAGCAGAAAAGCTGACTAAAACATTCGCCCAGAGGCTGGAGTTGTAGCTCAGTGGTGGAGCCTTTGTCTCCCACGTGTGAGGCCCTGGGTTCTATCCTCAGCACCACATAAAAATAACAAAGATACTGTGTCCATCTACAAATTAAAAAAACATAAACACACACACTCGCCCCAAATAACTATTGCTTCTTAACACAAACTTTGAAACTAAAGTTCAATTAAAATATGACTGGTGTCAATTATCGGAATGGGCTTAAGCAAACAAATTCAAAATAATATCAATACCCAAGTAATACTTAATCCACAAAACAAAGAACCCATGGGAGAAATTCCTCGAGCTTATACCCCTTCTCCCCAATACACACGTGAACATGTGCATATGAAGAACCCAGCCGGGTGACGCTGTAGCTGGAGAATTACAAAGGAGGAACATGGAGGGTAACTCCAGGCTGTGGCTCTAAGCCGTGTGACAGAGCCTCCCCTCATCAGCTGAGAGGGAGGGGACGGTTTTCAGGCAAGATGTTGCTTAACCTTGGGCCTGCTGACGTGGGAATGTGTGCAAGACACCACGCAAACACACGCAGGGAGTTAGGTACACAGGTCTGACACCTGAAGAGAGGTCTGCTCTAGAGTTAGGAGCGCAGATAACATTCAGAACTATGGCAACACTTAGGACAGAGCTCCATGTCACCACCATCACCGGTACCAGTCTGGTCCCAGCCCCAACAGCCTCCCTGGAAGTCACTCTGCAACTCTCAAGGCCCAGGCGAGTGTCACTACACTGAAGGAGTGAAGGAATACATGGTGGGGTTACTTGGGGGAGAAATCAGAGTGAGGGGGAGCTCTTGGCTCCAGAGTACCTAGACCCCCTCCAGGGCTCCAGAGTACTTAGGGACCCTCCAGCAATTAAGTGGCACAGAAGAGGAAGCAACAGAGGACATGCCAGTAAGACAAGAACACAGACAAAAACCAGAACGAGAGAGGGAGTCTCAGGAAGGCCAAGAGAAAAGCAGCAGTGTAGGGAGCAGAGGGGGAGGACAGGTGACGAATCCCAGCTCACAGCTCATCAGCACGAGGACTCCATCACTCCCAGGAACAACAGAGACAACAAGGAGGAGAACACACCGGCAACATGTGAGGAGGACAGAGAGCTTCTGCCTAGAATACACAGGAGCCGCCAAGACAGCAGGAGAGAACCCGGGGCACAAAAATGCAGGAGGCTTTCCCTGGCACCCTGGCATGCACGTGTGCAAACACACACACACACACAATTAAACACCAACACACAGTTTAGAAGATGCTGGCTTGTATGAATGGTGGGTGAGAGAAAGTGGGGATATGAGTCTTCACCACTGTGGGAGGTGACAGAGTGGCACCCAAGAGATGAGGCTCAAATCACAACAGATCATCTTAGAAGGTGATCTACCAGGAAACCTCAATAAAATACCACTAGAGAGACAAGAGAGAGTAAACTGAATGTGTCCTGGGGGGAGCAGAGGCACTGCTCCCTCACTACATGTTTTTGGCAATTATAAAAAGCCAGGTAAATGCATTACTTCCATGAATAAAAATAAAAGAGGGAACAGGGGGGCAAAGCATGGCTGGAGGTGAGAAGTAACAGGGGGTCACTGGGCAGCTCAGGAGGCTGCTGTGAGCAGGACAGAGACTGCGTGGAAAGCTGTGTGTGGCTGCCCTGGGGGGGTCGCCCAGTATGATCCCATGAGCCTTTGTGCAGGTTCCAGGCCCGCCCGGGCTGCATCGCCCTCTGACACTCCCCCACCCTGCTCCCCATGCTCTGGACTTCAGGATGTATCTCACCTTAGTACACACATGACATGTGACATGACATCAAGAAAGTGTAAATACAACTCCAAGGAATCATTCGACACATCTGGTGGTCAATGCACCACATGACATTTGTCTTTCCTCAAGGGTGGGGGACATCTGGGGCCTCCCATGCTTCTTGTCATCACCTGGACAACCAACTCCCAAGGTCTCAGCTGCAGGAATGTGCTAACATGGCCTCTGCAGGTGCTGCCAGCAGTGAGGACCAGTGCACCATGGGACAAGTCACCAAGACTCAGCTACAAAATGGGGGTGACTGCAGTGCTGTGCTCCACGGGGCTGCAGCCTCAGCCAAGGTTGCCTGTGTGGACCTGAGTGAGACTGGAACATGTACCTCCCAAGTGAGCACCTCAAGCAGAGCAAGGGCCAGGCCATGGCCAGCAGGGCTCCGCCCAGCAGAATGGGCATCTCTGTGTGACGGCCTCTTGACTTTTTCATTTTTGCTAAAAGTCAAAGACAACTGACAAAGACCCTATTCACTGGAAAGTCAATAAAAGTGGACTGTGGCAGGGGACGGTGGCGCACGC